TAGTTTGAAACCACTCAAACTACCACACTAGACTGGCTCCATATGGAAGATAGAGTCTAAAAACAAACACATGGATCTGAACTGTGGAGTGGTTTTTAGGCCATAACCAGCACTTTGAATTCTACCTGGAAAAAAAAGACCGGCAGACTCTGCAGCTGTTGCCACAAGAGAGCTGTGTATTTCCTGTAACCAGGACCCATTAGCAATCTGCTGCAGTTCTTTGGACCAACTGAACACTTCAAAGACTGCATCACAGTAATCCAATTGAGGTGTAACTAGCCATGTGTCACTGTGGCCAAGTTAGATGTCACAAGGAATGTACGCAGCTGGCAGACAATCTTTTCCAGAGGCACAGGGACTAGTACAATGTCAATTGTAGGTATGGTCAGGCACCAAGAGCTCCCAAGCTTGCAAAGAACCCCTTGGATTTGTTCTTTCTCTTTACAATTGCAGCCTGCTTCTTCATCCATTGCTTTCTCAGATGTTCAGTGGTAGTGGCTAGGAGGATGAACAATAGATGCTGCTGTATGTCAACATCCCAAACAAGTAAGTGGTGTCAATGATGACAAGTGGAGAAATAATAATAGTTCATGTCAAAGGTAATGGGAATGTTGACTCACTAAGGAACAGGATCTAATGAGGATGTCTGATCTCAAGATATGCAAAACACTGGAGCCTGCACTGCACTGGGGATTGTAAGGGAAAGGAACAGAGCTTGGGGAAGTTGTCTAGACTATACAAAGTAGACAAAAGTAACTTTCCAGAAGTTATTGGAAATTGATATGAAAGACTTAGATGAAGGGTTAGAAGGCATGATCAGCAAGTTTCCAGACGACACCAAATTGGGAGGGATAGCCAATACTCCAGAAGACAGGAGAAGAATTTGAAACGATCTTAACAGATTAGAGAGAGGATGGACCAAAACTAACAAAATGTAGTTCAACAGTGACAAATGCAAGATACTCCTCTTGCAGAATTCTGGGGTTTGTAGTTTAGGGAGGAGCCTTTAACAGCCTTACTAAACTACAAACCTCAGAATTCTGCAGGAAGCAGAAACCAAATTTAAAGTGGATTCATTCTCTAGTGTGATGAGGTCCTTAATGTGAAGGGATCATCTTTATCTTTGAGAAGCTCAAATGTGTCCAGAGAAGGGCAGCTAAAATGATCAAGGGTCTGGAGAACAAGCCCTATGAGGAGCAGCTAAAAGAGCTGGGCATGTTAAGCCTGTAGAAGAGAAGGCTGAGAGGAGACATGATGGCCATGTATAAATATGTGAGGAGAAGTCATAGGAAAGCAGAGTGAGCTCCAGCTATTAGCTCCAGCTTCTGCCAAACTAGCAGTTCAAAATCACGCAAATATAAGAAGATCAGTAGGCGCCTCTTCTGCATGAAGATATGGCACTCCATGCAGTCAGGCTGGCCACATGACCCTGGAGGTGTCTATGGACAAAGCCAGCTCTTTGGCTTAGAAATGAAGATGAGCACCATCCCCCAGAGTCAGACACAACTAGACTTAATGACAAGGGGAAAGCTTTGCCTTTTAAATATATTTCAGGCCAAAATTCCATACAAAACTGACCCCAAAGAGCACTTGGATTTGTACAGCATGACAGACATTTTAAATTTCAGTATCGATTTATCAATGCAATGTGCTTACTATGGCAAAGCAATGCAAAACTGAGTAGCTACACTGAAGTTAAAGAGGGAGTTAAATGAGGAGCAGTTCCAAAAAGAAAAGAAATTGGACAATTGCTACAGAAAGGAGCTGTGGAGGAGCAAGCCTTCTGCGGCTGTGGAATACCAAAAATTTTAAGGTGTGCAAAATTCTTTGTTAGAGATTTTAAAAATGCTTTCAGGATGTTTGAAGTGATGGGTGTACAGTTATATGGCAAACATTCAGAAATGATCTGGATTAGTGAGCTGGTAGAAGACATATTACTCTCTCCTTCCAGGTCACAAAGAAATGACAGGTTGGGAAGAAATTAAAAAACGAGGAAGCCTGGAGCTCAGTGCTACCCAGAATCCTTGTTATGTATCTCTTATCCCTAACTCCAGATTGGGAGCGGGGGGGGGGGGGGGGGGAGATTTGTAATTGTTCACTGCTGAGGAAAAAGAACTCTTTCGGTGCTCAGTTTTTCTGCTGAGGAATACAGTTTGTAGATTTGTATGGAAATTCCATCCATACTATGCGGTGGTGTGACCTTAGTAATACATGTGGGGAAAGCCTTTCACATCATTACTTTGCACTTGCTTGCTTTTTTTTGCATCTGTTTCCTTTTTCTTTGTTAATTTGCAGACCTGTCAGCTTTTTTGAGTGGTTACTCCTGACAATTTTGCCATCTCCCTGGTAATTACTTGGTTTGTATTATGTCACATTTTATATTGATCTTTTTTAGGTTAAAGTATGTGTAATTCTTATTGTTGGGATGGGTGTTGAAATGTATATGGGATCACCTGTGAGCTCCTTTTGAAAACCTTCGAGGGAGGCAGAGAGGAAGGAAGGAATGGCCGAAGGGTTTGAAACCTACTTAACAAACACTACACATCTTTCTGGACTGTATCAACATAAGCCAATACTGGGGAACACTTCACAGTTGTTTTGAGCAGTGCTGGTTTCCCAGCCCAGAAGGGGCGGTGGCATCCAGATGTGCTGCCATACAAATCCTATCATCATTGGCCATGCTGGCTTGCAGTAAATTGGAACGGCAGTCTAGAGGGACTTTGATTGAAGATGGCTGGCTTAGTGCTGGCTTGGTCTGGTCCTGCCATTTGGCACAGGGAGGCAGCCATCTCGGTGGCAGGTGATGGTGGGGAGATGTTGCAGGACACCTGCATGGGCCACCTGCTTTGCCTGGCTGTTTTTAAATGGCCCTCGGGGGAGTACTGTCCTTTCGTGGTGTGATCAGATCTTGGAAAAGTCTCACTTTTGGGAGAATCTCCTATGATTACTCAGCCAATGCTTCAGGGCTATTAGAGGTTGCAGTCAAAATGTAATGTCCCCCAAATCAGGCTCAGATGCAAGTGTTTGTGCACGGAACGAAGTGAATTCTGCTCGAAACAAACAACAAGCACACACAATCCTTCCAAGTCAGTCCTGTTGTAGTCCAGCCTTTGATTGTACCTGTACCTGATCTCTCTGGGGATTCTGGGCCTGTTAGGTAGCCTGTTGATAACCAGCAAGAGAATCAGGAGATTCTAAGCCCTGAGAATGAGAACAAGGAAGGCCATATTCCAGAAAGACTGTTCAGTTCTCTTGAGTTGCAAGGTCAGAGGTAGAACTGAGCTCAGGGGAGGAAGATGCAACTCCAGGTGGACAGGCTAATGAGCAGCAGTTAGATAGGAGACTGATATTCCATCAACATAGAGTTTCTCATGAGACAGTACACTTATTATGAAAGAAGCCTTTATCAGTTTTGATAGAAAACAGCATGGTTTTCTGTCTATATTAGAGGCACCAGAAGATCATTTTCTCAGTCCAGAGACAATGTTGCTTTTGGAGTGTAGAACTCTTGCCAAGTCAAGTCTTCCAAGGGGTTTCTAGTTCCAGGTTCCTTGTGTTCATGTTTCTTGTGTTCATGTTTCATGCTTCAAATCCTAAGGAATATTTCTGAATTGCAATCTTTGGATTTATCCTGCTTTTATATTCCTGTGTGTGTGTGTGTGTGTCAGGAGTGACTTGAGAAACTGCAAGTCGCTTCTGGTGTGATAGAATCGGCCATCTGCAATGACGTTGCCCAGGGGATGCCTGGATGTTTTTTGATGTTTTACCATCCTTGTGGGAGACTTCTCTCCTGTCCCCACATGGAGAGCTGGAGCTGACAGAGGGAACTCAACCCACTCTCCCCAGCTTTGAACTGCTGACCTGTCAGTCAGCGGTCCTGCTGGCACAAGGGTTTAACTCACTGTGCCACTGGAGGCTCATGTACTCTGTACTCTGAGGATTATTCTTGTTTATGGACACTGGTTTTCACATTATCTTGCTGAATTGCTTTATATTCTTCAATAAACTGCTTTGCTATATTGCCTTGGACTGGTTGGTGTGTTAAGTACAGAGGTGAATTCCAGCCTTGGAGCACAACAAAACCTCTGAGGATGCCTGCCATAGATGCAGACGAAACGTCAGGAGAGAATGCTTCTAGAACAGGCATCCTCAAACTGTGGCCTTCCAACTCCCAGAAGTCCTAACAAGCTTGTTCAATTGTCAGGAATTTTGGGAGTTGAAGACCCAAACTGGTGGAAGGCCGCAGTTTAAGGATGCCTGTTCTAGAATATGTCCATACAGCCCGAAAAACCTATAACAACTTGGCACCAGCTTACTCAACGAATGCGCCCAGTTGAACTCAGCCAAGGCTGGAGGGGAAAAAGGATTTGAGCTGAACCCGACAGCGTGGAAACCATTCAGAGGGACAGACCGACCTATCGATCCATCCCTCCACCCCGGGGACTTTTGGGGCACCCAAGTTCTTACGGAATGGAGGCATTCGCCCACCCGCCTCCCTCCTTGGAAGGCGTGCGTGTTGACTTTGCCCAAGCTTGAGCTTAATGATAAAGAGAGTAACCTCACTCCCACCCCAACCCCCTCGCTCCTTCAGGGATGAAGATCAATGCAGATCCCCTTGATCGAAGAATCGATCCCGAAGCTTGGTGGTTGATCTCCAAGGAGAAAGAGAACGCGAGAGAGAAAGCAAGCAAGCGCGCAGCCCAAGAGAAGGGAAGCCCCGGGCGGCTGGGCGGCCCCTTCCCCTCCTCTCCTGGCCCCCTCCCACCCCTCAAGTCCCCCCTCGCTGCCTCTCTCCACCCCTCGGCGCCTCCTCCCTCCCTCCTCTCGTGGCACTCCGTGGGTGGCAGAGGCAGAGAGAGAGAGAGAGAGAGAGAGAGAGAGAGAGAGAGAGAGGCAGGAGAGAGGAGAGAGAAGAGAGGAGAGGAGAGGAAGGAGAGAGAGAGAGAGAGGAGGAGGGAAGAGGAGAGGAGAGGAGAGAGAGAGAGAGAGAGAGAGAGAGAGAGAGAGAGAGAGAGGCAGGACTGCGGGCCACTCCGCGCCCTTGCGCTCCAGTCGGGCGCCGCAGTGGGGGCTGCTCTTGCCGCTCTCTTCCTCCTCCTCCTCCTCCCTCCCCGTGGGCCCCCCGAGTGGGGAGGAGGCGGAGGAGAAGCCCACGCTCGTGGCTGCTGCCATGGCGGCTCCCCAAAGTTTCCCGGTGCACAGGACGGAGCCCAGCTGAAGGAAGGAGGCGCCCCCAAGTCTCCCCTCGCGAAGAAGGTAAGGAGGGAGAAGGAGGAAGGTGGGACGGGACGGGCTGGGAGGCAGGCATGGGCGAGAGGCAAGAGGGGCCCCTCTTTCTTCTTCCGTCCTTCCCCACGACTCTTCCCTCAACCTAACATTGGGGAGAAGGTGTGCGCGGCTCTGAGCAAGGAAAAGGAAGAGAAGCGAAGAGAAGGGACGCAGTTGCAACATCCACACCTGCCTCAAACAGACAAGAGTTCTTTCTCCCATCTTGGACACTTCACAGATATATAAACCCCCTTTTCCTAGTTTCCAACAGACCTCACAACCTCTGAGGATGCCTGCCATAGATGCAGGCGAAACGTCAGAAGAGAATGCTTCTGGAACAGCCTAGAAAACTCACAGCAACCCAGAAGGGATGCTGTAGTAGCCCGAAAAAAAGAATACCGCTTTCCAAACCTTTCCAAGCCGCCCCCCCCTCCATCCCGAGGTACTACTTACCCCTCTGTGCATGATGCGGAGTAGAAGTAGAAGGCATTCCCCTTTCGCCTTTCCACGCACGCAAACCGAGCCGTCATCCAGTCCCTATTATCGCCCGTAATGATCAGTGTAAATAAGCGAAAGGGCTGTGGGATAGAAGAGCCCGCGTTTCCCTTCTGCTCCTCCATCCTGGCCAGCTCTGTGTGGCGAGGCTTGGACCCGACGCAGGGGCCAGAGAGAGGCAGGATATCTGCCAAGGATGGAAGGATCCCGGCTGGGAGAGACGGGTTGAGTGCCTTCCTTCCTTCCTTCCTTCCTTCCTTCCTTCCTTCCTTCCTTCCTTCCTTCCTTCCTTCCTTCCTTCCTTCCTTCCTTCCTTCCTTCTCCTCCTTCCTTCCTTCCTTCCTTCCTCCTTCCTTCCTTCTTCCTTCCTTCCTTCTTCTCTTCTTTCTCCTCCTTCCTTCCTTCTTGCTTCTCTCTTCTCCTCCTCCTTCCTCCTCCTTCCTTCCTTTCTTTTCCTTCTCTTCTCCTCCTTCATCGCCTTTCTTCTTCCTTTCCTCCTCCCCTTCCTCCTTCCTTCTTCCTTCCTTCTCCTTCCTCCTTCTTCCTTCCTTCCTTCCTTCCTCTCTTCCTTCCTTCCCTTCCTCTCCTCCTTCCTTTCCTCTTCCTTCTCCTTTTTTTCCTTCTTCTCCTCTCCTTCCCCTTTCCTTCCTATCTCCTCCTCCTTCCTTTTCCTCCTTCTCCCTCCTTCTTCCTTCCTCCTTCCTTCCTTCCTTCCTTCCTTCCTTCCTTCCTTCCTTCCTTCTTCCTTCCTTCCTTCTCCTCCCTCCTTTCCTCCCGGCCTTGAGGCCTTTTCCTCTTCTTTCCTTCCTTCCTTCCTTCCTTCCTTCCTTCCTTCCTTCCTTCCTTCCTTCCTTCCTTCCTTCCTTCCTTCCTTCCTTCTCTCCTCCTTTCCTCCCTCCCTTCTATTCCTTCCTTCCTTCTTCTTCTTCCTTTCCTTCCTTCCTTCCTTGAACCCGGAGAGGGAAGGGGAGCTTCGATTTCCCTCCGAGGAGGTGTGGTCCTCCAGCGGGAAATCTCTCCTCCTTCGGTGAGAAGTTTGTGTGTCTCTAGAACGCAATTTGGTGGGTGGATCAAGGTGCAGAGCTCACTGCATGTTATACTGCAAGGTGTCTGAGAGAAAGAAGAGAGAGGGAGAGAGAGGGAGAGAGGAGGAAAGAGAGGAAATTAGGAGGGGAAGAAAAGGTGGAGGGGAAGAAAAGGTGCCATAATACAGGCATGGGCAAACTTGGGTCCTCCAGGTGTTTTGGACTTCAACTCTCACCCTTCCTAACAGCCTCAGGCCCTTTCCTTTTCCCTTCAGCCGCTAAAGTGAAAATGAATGGGCCTGAGGCTGTTAGGAAGGGTGGGAGTTGAAGTCCAACACCTGGAGGACCCAAGTTTGCCCATGCCTTTCTTAATAGTACAAACTTGTTTGGCCATTGATTCTGTATAATATAACCATGATGATGGGAGACAGCCAGAAAACAAGAGCTGTGAGAAGAGAGCAAAAATTGTATTGTCGAAGGCTTTCATGGCTGGAATCACTCAGTTCTTGTGGGTTTTTTCGGGCTATATGGCCATGTTCTAGAGGCATTTCTCCTGACGTTTTGCCTGCATCTATGGCAAGCATCCTCAGAGGTGAGGTCTCTGAGGATGCTTGCCATAGATGCAGGCGAAACGTCAGGAGAAATGCCTCTAGAACATGGCCATATAGCCCGAAAAAACCCACAAGAACTGAGAGCAAAAATTGTTTTCAATGTCCCCATCCCCTCAAATCAAGGGCTGGATAGCAAGAGACAGTGGGGTGTAGAGGTTAGACACCTGAAGTATTATTTGGTGACCTTGAAACAGTTTCTTTCCTCAAACCTAATCTACTAACAGAGCCATTCTGGTGACAAAAATGGGGATTGTGAGGCCTGTATACATAAATGGGTTGCATTCAATGGAGAAAGTGGAATCTTCCATCAAGACTATGCATTTTTCTTTTTTGTTCTGTTCTTTCCCCCACACCCCTTGATTTCTTTAAAAAGTAAGTTGGTAGCAAAACTAGTACCAACCTACTGCCCTGGTGAGGCAGCAGGTTAAACTACTGAGCTGCTGAACTTGCTGACTGAAAGGTTGGCAGTTCAAATCGGGGGAGCAGAGTGAACTCCTGCTGTTAGCCCCAGCTTCTGCCAACCTAGCAGTGCAAAAACATGCAAATGTGAGTAGATCAATAGGTACCACTTCTGCAGGAAGGTAACAATGCTCCATGCAGTCATGCTGGTTACATGACCTTGGAGGTGTCTATGGACAACACCAGTTTTTCTGCTCAGAAATGAACATGAGCACCACCCCTCAGAGTCAGACACGATTAGACGTAATGTCAAGGGGAAACCTTTACCTTTACTATAAAATTATAAAGGAATCCAATAGCAGCTTTGAGAAAATTTCTAGCACAAACTTTCATGGACATTGTTTTGTTGAAGGCTTTCCATGGCTGGAATCACTAGGTTGCTTTGTATTTTCCAGGTGGTATGGCCGTGTTCCAGAAGCATTCTCTCTTGATGTTTCACCCACATCTATGGCAGGCATCCTCAGAGTTTGTGAGGGCTGTTGGAAACTAGACAAGTGAGGTTTATATGTCTGGAATGTCCAGGGTGGGAGAAAGAAATCTTGTCTGTTTGAGGCAAGTGTTAACGTTGCAAATTGCCACCTTGATTAGCATTTGATAGCCTTTGCAGTTTCAAGCCTGACTGATTGCTCCTGAAATACACAAGCATGTCAACAATTTCAACAGAAAGGAGGAAACCATGAAAAGGAACAAGATCTGTCCAACAGTAAATAAAGCACAGCACTCAAAAAGCAGGGGAATTCCAAACAAGAATCAGTCAGGACCAGCTAACACATCCTGAGAAAGGATCCCCAAGCAGCAACCAGCCAGACTTTGAAGCTGCAAGGCCATTAAATGCTAATCAAGGTGGCCATTTGCAACATTCATTCTTGCCTCACACAGACAAGAGTTCTTTCTTCCACCCTGGACATTCCACAGATATATAAACTTCACTTGCCTAGTTTCCAACAGTCCTCACAATGTCTGAGGATGGCTGCCATACATGTGGGTGAAACATCAGGAGAGAATGCTTCTGGAACATGGCCATACAGCCCAGAAAATGCGTAGCACCCTACATTCATGGACATGCTGTCCATGAATACCACCATAGTTGGCTACAAAACAATCAAGAAGACACAGGTGTTATCCCACAAGGAAGTTTACCAGAGAACTATAGGTGTAGAAGGCATACAGAATAAGTTTTAAGTTATCCACTGCCTATTGTTGGTGTACATTATGACCACTTATTACCACCTCAAAATGACTATCATGGGGGTTTCATGGTGAGATTTGTTACAGGGAGTTTACCATGGTCTTTCTCTGAGGCTGAGAGGTTGTGACTTGCCCAATATCACTCAGTGGGTCTCCAAAGTTGTTGCCCCATGCCCAAACCACCACATCTTCTCTAGGGCCCCTTCCACACAGCCAGGCATGTAGCCGGGGGGGGGGGGCTTCAGGGGCTTCAGCCCCCCCCCCCCGAAATTCTCAGCGTGGTCCGCGGGAAGGCCTTACTGGTGCATTATTTAAACTGTTATGTTTATTCATATCATGATCTGATCACCATACTCAATATATCCCATATGCATGGGGGTATTGGGGTAACAATACAAAAGGTTTGCTAGGGTAGACCCTCTTTCACTCAGACTCAGCCCCCCCCGAAACTCAGCCCCCCTGAACCCCCCCTGAAAAAAATTCAGCCCCCCCCCCCCCGAAACGAAATCCTGGCTATGGGCCTGCACACAGCTGAATAACATCCAACACTATCTGCTTTGAACTGGAATATGTGGCTGTGTGGACTCAGATAAACGAGTTCAAAGCAGATATTATGGGTTATTCTGCCTTGATATTCTGGGTTATATTTATTTATTTATTTACGACATTTATATGCCGCCCTTCTCACCCCGATGGGGACTCAGAGCGGCTTACAAGTTATATGTACATATACAATATATTATATTATTAGCATAGCACAATATTAGTATTATATATTACTATATTGTTGTGGGGGGAGGGGCTCCTAGGAGACATGTCTTCCTGGCTCCCCCTCTTCACTCTGGCTTCAGAGCATCAGTTGGTGCTGGGGAGAGTGTGGAATGGCCCTACATCTGTTTTTTTGACCTGGGAATGAATAAATGTCTTTCCATCTCTATTCAATGACAGACAATGGTACAAAAATATTTTGCACATGCTCAAAGGCTCCCCCTTTTTCTTTAGCATTGCTTCACATTGCGTTCCGTAAAAGACAACCTTAAAGAGTCAAAGAAACAGACTAAGGTTGCCTTAATGAAAAGTTTGGAGGGCTCTTGCATCTTTATGGTTGCATAAAAGAGGAAATTTGAGCTACTGAGTTTCATAACAAGTTGTTTTCTTTGGCTGAATGAGAATTGGAATCCTGATCTGCTAGAGCAGGCATGGACAAACT